ATACACACCCGTTGTCTCTCAGTCTGGGACCCATTGGGGACATATCTGTCCATGCATTCGTCGCGGTGTGCGACATGACCCTCGATATATAGTATCAATCGCGGCTCGCGACATGTCTCTCGATAATAGAATCCGCCACGGCGTGCGACACGTCCCTTGAAATATAGTATCTGTCGCGGCGCGCGACACGTCCCTCGAAATATAGTATTTGTTGTGGCGCACGACACGTCCCTCGAAATAGTACATCCTCTTTAATTTCTTATTCTTTCTCAATTCACATAACATTTGTCACAACCATGTCTCAGAACAATGCAAATGACATGTTCACATAAATAATGAGGAGATGAACATTTTCATTATAATGCACAATTCACAACAACACAATCGTGATACAACATCAACATGAGTCAATAAGCCTTTCAAACCATTCTCAACACATCACACACCAACAATTAATCACATTGTCTTTTATTACCCATTTGAGGTGAGGGTTCCCACCTTGTTGGTGAGGGTTCAATTCCTCATATTGTAATTTCCTCCCCCATTTTCCCTTCCCCTACCCCAATTTTTTTTAAAAATAATAAATAAATAAAAGTGTCACAGGACATGCCGGCTAGCCAATCTGTTTAGCCATGCGAACTCTTGCCTCAATGTTTTCAAATCGATTTTGAGTATGCCAGTTGTCTTCATGGAAATTGTTTATACCTCCCATCTTCATCCATTATGAAATTGTCAATAGATATCAGTGCATCACCAAGTTGCGAAAACATGAATGTGTGGATAAAGTATAGAATTATCATTTTGAACCACATCTTGTTTGTTATTCCATGTGTCCATATGAAATTATTGAACTAGACGTGCTTTGTTTATGCTTGTTTTTGCGCCAGGGAAGTACCCTTCAAACAACTTGCTCGGAGTGGATTTCGAATATCTAAAATCATCAAAATTGTTTGGACATTGCAGCCCGGTTATGATGATAAATTTTTTGATACTAAAATGTAATATATTTCCATTTTCATGAAGAATGTGAAGCTTGTTGGTGTTGCCTTGCTCCAACTCAAGAAGCAACAAACACTATGTAATTTGACCTTGATAATTACAATTAGGGATGTTGTTAAGATAAAGTTTATTCAAGGGAAATTAGTGTAATAAGTGTGATGAACTAAGTCGGTTAAGTTTGTTATTCATTTTATTCTTGTTGATGAGTTAGTTATTTTTGTTGTTAGTTAGTTAAATTCTAGAACCTTCTTATTATTGAGTCTGTATAAATCCTCTTCATCTTCATGAAATGAAGTTCAGTTTTCATTTCCCCCAAATTAGAGCATTCTTCATTTCTCCTCAAAGCTTCAGATCAGCATCAATGGAGAATCAATATTCTCCATCAATTTTCGTTTAACTCAATATGGTATCAGAGCCGTGACGGTTCTATTTCACTCTCCGCAGTTCAATTTTTTTTTTTGTTTCATCCCTTTTTCTTTCAGTAATTCAACTTCACACAGAATGGTACAGAGCAGTTATCAGGAAAGAATCAAATGGCAATCAACCTCCAGAACCTGTTTCTCTGGATCTAGCCAGTGTATTCTATGTTCATCCTTCTGAGAATGCTGGATCTACACTCGTCCCTGTCCTGTTCGATGGATCTGGATATCGTTCATGGAGATGAGCTGTTCTTCGAGGCCTATCAGTGAAGAACAAAACAGGTTTCATCAATGGGAAAGTGCAAAGACCATCTATAGATTCAACCGAATTTCCTCGTTGGGAGAGATGTGATGATATGGTCACCTCCTGGATTTTGAATTCTCTGTCCAAAGATCTCAGAGATAGCCTGCAATATGTAGACAATGCAAGAGAACTTTGGATAGAATTAGAGGACAGGTATGATCAAACTAATGGAGCTAAATTGTATCAACTTCAGCGCGAAATTAATGATCTCAGTCAGGGGAACTTGCACATTACTGAGTACTACACCAGAATTAAAAAGTTATGGGAGGAGCTTAACACATTAGACACAAATTCATAATGCACATGTGTGTGCATATGTACTGGTAAATCGAAAATGCATAAAGCTGAGTTGGATAGGAGACTTATTCAATTCCTGATGGGATTGAATGAAGTTTACACCATTGTGAGAGGCAGCATTTTGATGATGAATCCATTACCCACTATGGCTCAAACTTTTTCTATTCTTGTCCAGGAGGAGAAACAAATAGAGGTGAAGCCTCAGAACAGGTTCAATTTGGACTCCACTTCATTTTATGTGAATGCTACCAGTACTAGCACAAATTTCAGGACTAACTATGCTCCTAATAGAAACAATGAGGCAACAACAGGGCTCCTAACATGTCTAATCTCTTTTGTGACCATTGTAAGAAGACTGGTCATATCAAAGAAAAGTGTTACAAGCTACATGGCTTTCCTCCTGATTTCAAGTTTACTAAGGAAAAGAATGCAGGAACAGCAGCTACTACAAATGGTTTTTCTGAGGAGTTTCTGGAAGATACATGTGACAAGAATCATGAAGTAGGCTAAGGAAAAGGGAAAATGCATGAACAAAGTCTAACTCAACAACAAATTCATCAGTTGGTAAATCTACTGGAGCACTTTCAGATTCCAGGAGGAAGTAACACTGCAAAGGAATCTGGGAACAACTTGAATGGTGGAGCTGTTAACTTTGCAGGTATCTTAGCATGCTACTCTTCAATTAATGACATTGGAAATTTGTCATGTAAATGCCTAAAACTCTCTGTTTACTCTTGGATTATAGACTCAGGGGCCACACACCATATGACCTTCACAAAATCATTACTCACAAACCTCAGACCTTTACCCAGTCCTTTCCTAATTACCCTTCCAAATGGATATAAAGTAAAGGTGACAGAAATTGGTGATATACATCTGAATCCTTCACTCACTTTGTATAAAGTATTGTTTGTGCCTAGTTTTAAATTCAACTTGATATCAGTTCATTGTTTGGTTTCTCACCTGAAAGGAAATGTCAATTTCAATAATTTTTCTTGTTTCATGCAGGGCCCTTCAATGAAGAGCCCTCTGGAGATTGGTAGAGCACAAAATGGACTATATGATCTGTGCTCAAGATGTCACATTGCATGTTCTACTCCCATTTCTGCTCAGTTTCTACTTCTTCTGCTGCACCTATTTCCAGTTCTTTACCTTGTTTTTCTGATTTTACTATTGTTTGTTCCAATAGTATTTCCTATAAAACCTTGCATAACACTCATGGTATAACCACTTGTAATACTACAGATGTAAGGTCCACTTGTTTAGGCAATAATAACGTGTTTCCTGCCTGTGTTTCTGATACTGTCTCTTCTAAATTGAATGGTCCTGCCATAACATGCTTGTCTAATGGAAACAATGTTGATCACTTGTGGCATAATAGGCTAGGACATGTTCCTTTTGTAAAAATGAAAGGTATTCCTACCATTCCCATAACCTTCTCACCAAAACAACCCTTTATGTGCACTGTGTGCCTTATGGCCAGACAAACCAAACTTCCTTTTCCAACCAAGACCACTGTCTCTAGCACCAATACCTTTGATCTCCTTCATATGGATTTATGGGGACCATACCATGCCTCAACCCACAACAATTACAAGTATTTTTTAACCATAGTTGATGACTTTAGTAGATCAACATGGACTCACCTCCTCAGTTGCAAAACCAACACCCTTCAAACCATAAAATCCTTCATATCACTTGTTGAAAATCAGTTCAAAACCACTGTCAAGTCAATAAGAACTGACAATGGTACAGAGTTCACCAATAATGAAACCTTCATGTATTTCCAAGCAAAGGGAATAATACACCAAAAGACTTGTCCCTACACACCACAACAAAATGGTGCAGTGGAAAGGAAACACAAACACATTCTGGAGGTTGCTAGAGCACTTCTGTACCAATCCAAACTTCCCATCACATATTGGGGATAATGCATTTTAATAGCTACTTACTTAATCAATAGACTTCCCAATACAATTCTCCACGACAAAACACCCTTTGAAATATTGTACCACCAACCTCCCACCTATTCTCACCTTAGGTCCTTTGGGTGTTTATGTTTCCCTACCATAAAGACTCATAAGGACAAATTTGATCCAAGGGCCACACCTCACATTTTCATTGGATATCCTTTCAATACAAAAGGCTATAAAGTCCTAGATCTAAGTACCAAAAGGATACATGTTTCTAGGGATGTAAATTTTCATGAGAATGTCTTTCTTTTTGCCTTGTCTAAGTCTGAAACTGATCCTAGTTTTTCCACAATACTGAGAACTTTGAATAATAATTCAAACGTGTTAAACTCTGCTTATGATATTTTTAACAAAGCTGCTGTTTTGGATGATGATGACACTAATTTTAATGTCACTAATACTGACTTGCGTGCATCTATATTTTCACAAATATCTCCACCATCAGCTTTTGAACAATTATTAGACTTTCATTCACCTTCAACAAATAGACAACCCAGCTCAGCTGGACATGCCTTACCTGACACCACTGAACAACGTCAAACCCAAACACTAAACCTTAGAAGGTCCAGTAGGCCCCATATCATCCCCACTTACTTGAAAGAATATAGTTATTCCTTACCCTATTTGCATACTCTGCCTTCATCAACCCCATCCTCTAACTTTGCACCTACCACTCATTATTATTCTCTTACAAGTCTTAACCAAGATAGTCAACACAGTGTTAAAGGTCCTTCTCATGACATTGAACCATGCTCATATGAAGAGGCAGCACTTGACCATGCTTGGCAGACAGCTATGACATCAGAATTTGATGCACTGTATGCCAATGAGACATGGGATCTTGTTACATTACCCATGGGAAAGAGGGCAATTGGATGCAGGTGGGTTTACAAAGTTAAACACAAGGCTGATGGCACAATAGAGAGATTTTAAGCTAGACTAGTTGTGAAGGGATACACTCAACAAGCTGGCATTGACTACAATGAGACTTTTTCCCCAGTAGTTAAAATGACTACAATCAGGATTTTAATCAGTCTGGCTATCAAGAAAGGTTGGGACATGTACCAACTAGATGTGAATAATGCCTTCCTTCATGGAGATCTCCATGAAGAAGTGTATATGGACATACCTCCTGGACTCATGGTGACTGATACAAGAATGATTTGTAAGCTCAAGAAGTCCTTATATGGACTGAAGCAAGCAAGTAGACAATGGTATGACAAGTTAGCACAATTTTTATACTCAAGAGGCTACTCTCATTCTACCAACGATTACTCATTGTTCTATAGAAAAATTGGAAGTTCTTTAGTCTTTGTTGCTGTATGTGTGGATGATGTCATTATAACTGGTACTGATATTATAGAGATTACTTCTTTGAAGAATTCTCTCCATAATGAGTTCAAGATTAAGGATTTGGGGAGACTACAATACTTCCTAGGTTTGGAAATTTTGTACAAAGATTCAGGGGTCATAATCTCTCAAAGAAAGTTTACTATTGACCTACTGCATGAGTTTGATTGTTCAGATTGCAAGTCTGTGTCATCACCTCTTGAGTCCACAGTTAAACTTAAGGCAGGTGAAGGTATATTACTTACAGATCCCACATACTATAGGAAATTAGTAGGTAAGCTGAATTTTTTGACCAACACAAGGATGGACATAGCTTTCAGTGTCCAGTATCTCAGTCAATTCCTCCAAAATCCCAGAGAACCACATCTCAAGGTTGCTTATCATGTTCTGAGATACCTCAAGAATGACCCTTGTTTAGGGATACATTTGTCAAATAATGCAGATTGCTCAATCACTACATATTGTGACTCAGACTGGGCAGCCTGCCCTGATACAAGAAAGTCAGTGAGTGGTTATGTTGTGCTCATGGGGGACAGTCCTGTGAGCTGGAAGTCTAAGAAGCAAACGACCATATCTTTATCCTCAGCCAAAGCAGAGTATAGAGCTATTAGGAAGGCTGTTGGAGAATTGGTGTGGCTAGAAAGATTACTGATTGAGCTGAATTTACCATGTAAACTGCCCATATCTGTGTTTTGTGATAGCCAGACAGCTATTCACATATCAAAGAACCCTGTGTTTCATGAGAGAACAAAGCATATAGAGGTGGACTGTCATTTTGTTAGAGAAAAAAAATACAAGAATGACTCATCACACTCCATCACATCTCAACAAATAATCAGCTAGCTGATGTACTGACTAAGGCACTGCCGAGTGCTAAACACTCCAACATTCTACATAAGCTGGCTGTGAACTACTCACTTCCAACTTGAGGGGGGGTGTTAAGATAAAGTTTATTCAAGGGCAATTAGTGTAATAAGTGTGATGAACTAAGTCGGTTAAGTTTGTTATTCATTTTATTCTTGTTGATGAGTTAGTTATTTTTGTTGTTAGTTAGTTAAATTCTAGAACCTTCTTATTATTGAGTCTGTATAAATACACTACATCTTCATGAAATGAAGTTCAGTTTTCATTTCCCCCAAATCAAAGCATTCTTCATTTCTCCTCAAAGCTTCAGATCAGCATCAATGGAGAATCAATATTCTCAATCAGTTTTCGTTTAACTCAATAGATGTTGAGGTATTGTCCAAAAAAAAATCTTGAATAACTCAATGCCTTCAATCCTATGGAAAACCTGAAATCATCTATAAAACACATGTTGTAAGTAGAACCAAACTTTAATGAGTGGGCAAGAATTTGTTTTATAACGTAGTTCATAGACTACATTGAAAAAAATATGAACAACAATTAAAAATAATAAATATCATTACTTGATACATACTGACTAAGACGACAATGCAACTACAATGTGTCCTATGTTTGTGTCTTATACACAAGGATCTAAATTACATTATTGTGAACACCTAATTTTTTACCAAACCTACAATTTACACATTTTAATATTTAAATGTTTATTATGATTTAAGATAATTTTTATGTCATTTTTAGTAAGCTTATTTTAAAATATTCGAAAGAAAAAAAGAGTGTCACATTTTAGGATAAATTTTATTATTTTTTTTTAAAAAGCATTTTATTTTTGTTAGGATTTAATAAAACAAGGTAGTAACTTTATTATTATTGTGTTTATTACCATCCATTTTTTAATTTAATTTTATTATTTAACCCTTTATATATTAATTTACTTAGAATTAGATAATTTAAATATTCTATTGGTATATTATAGTATTCAAAAAGCTCAAAAATGGGGGAAAAAAAGAAGAAAGAGTCAACTTAAACTAAACTATTCACTCGCTACTTTAAAACCCTCAACCAACAAAATCTTCCACTCCCTCACATTTCTTATCCCCGCAACAAATTCATACATACAATATTATATATATACACTCAATCAGCAACAACGAGAAAAAAAAAGAAGAAGAAGAAATTAAGAAGAAAAGAAAGAGAGAAAAACGTGAGCAAAAAGAAGAAGAAAAGAGAGAGAAACGTGACAAGAAAAAAAAACAGAGGAAAAGCGCGAGTTGAAAAAAAAAAGAGTGAGCTTGTTCTTTTTTGAGAATTAAGTTGGAATTTGAGATTTTGTTCGTGGATCTGAAAGTTAGCCTTGCTAACCTTGGAAATATGTAGATTGTACATTACTTTCCGTTATTAGTCAAAAACAATTTGAAGGTGCATTTTTGTCATAGCCTGTTTGATTTTTTAGAGAAATTTTTTATATAAACTATAAGTTTGATTCATTTATGTAAATGTGAAGATATGTGTCCAATGAGTTTCTCAATGTTGGTCTATTTTACGTTAGTCTCAAGTTATTCTCTTCCTTTTCCTTTGTGATTTAAGAAGACATCATCACGTTTTATTTGTCATAATTGAATGATAATCTCATGGAGTTAATCAAATGTTTGTTGTTTAATTGTTTGGATATTTGATTACTAACTAAAAGTGATTAGAAAATAGAACATTAGGTTTGCGAGAATTAAAATTGGCCTTCTTGTAACCCTTTAAATATAATTAAAAGTTTTTTTTGTTAATTTACATCATGAAAAGAGTGAGAGGAGATATAAATTTTATTTAAGGATTCATCGTCGAAAGAAGAAAATTCGATAAGAGAAGAAGAAAAAAAAGGAGAAGAAAAGAATAAAAACCAAATAGTACAACAACACCAACCATATTGTAAATATAATGAAGGTTTATCTTTTAGAGAAAATTTAAGAATCCTAATTCAGGGATCAACCATTTCAAAGATTTAATTAAAATAAAAAAGGAAATTTGATTATTGTTCAAAATTAACAGGGGGAGGGGGGGTTAATTTTTTAAAAGCAAAATTGAGGAGTCAAACGATTTTGATCAATTAATTAGAATAGTCTGAGTCAATGCAAACAAAGAAAATTGGAAGTACGAAAAAAACCATGCCATTATTTAAATAAAATTGTAACTAGAAAGAAACTAAGAAAATGGTATAAAGATAGGACATTAATAAAGAATAATGCTAAATGGCCAGAGAAACTTGGACACACGTGTAGAAAGTCCACAATAACTTATTTTATACTCCCTTTTCAAATTAATACACATATTAAGAAAATAATTATTAACATAGTGAGTTTATCATTTTATCCATGTTAATTATGAAGTGGATGAATTAAAAATCTTAAAATTTTCAAGAAGTTCTACCTTTTTAAAAGTAATTAATTGAGGGTATAATAGGTAAAAAAAAATTGTCCTTTCTTGATTTATCAAAATAGACAAGTAATTAGAGACAACTAAAAAAAATTGACAAGTAATTAGGGACAAAAGGAGTTCTATTTCGTGTTTGTTCCCACAAAGTCCTTGAAATACTTAAACCAGAAACTGTAGTCTATAAAAAAAATTAGAAACTTTTCATCTTTTTTGAACTTTTTTGGAAAATATTACTATCTAAGAATAAAATTACAAAAACATTGTTTTAACTAAAGCGTATACGAATCGTATTAGTTTTTTCTAAATTAAATCATACAATTTATTTTAATTAAATGAACAGTAATTTAAAAAGAAAAATCTTGAATAACGCATTAAATTTCTTATATTATAATTTCTTTAAACAAAAAAATAATAGTATATAATAATTAATAAAATTATTTCACCACTTCTATCCATGAAAATAAGATCAGGTACTTCATTATTAACATTAAGAAGGTGTTTCAAAATAAAATTAGAAAGAAAATCCTCATATAAATTCTAGTAACTTTAATTTTTCAAAATTGAAGAATTTATACTTCAAACAATCAAAAGACAATTACAAATACGTATATCGATGTATAGTTCTTAATTATCTAAGTAGAGTAATTGTATAGTAAAATTATAATTTTCTTGAGATTTTCTTTTTTGGTAAATCAATATATAGTGCTAGTATAAATAACTTGGTATTAACCTCTACACAGCAATAATTATCGGTTGAAGTAAAGAAGAATAGATGGTAATACTATTTTTTTTTCCAACGTAAATTAGCATATATACTTAATTAGTATTTCTCACTTTTTGTTCAAAAGATAATGTTTGTGCTTTTATGAAATATTTGTTACATGAATTCAAAAAAAAAAAAAAAACATAATTTTAAAAAAAGATTAAAAAAAAATTTATAAGGAAAGGATAGAACTACATTTTAAAGATTTAATTAGAATAAAGGGGGGAATTTAATTTTAAAAGCAAAATTAAGGGGTGAAAAAGATTTTGAGTAGTTTAATACCTTCTCTGTCATTAATTATTTGTTCAATTTTTTTTTTTAGTTATCTCCAATTATTTGTCCATTTTGACAATCAAGAAAGGAAAAATTATTTTACCTATTATACCCTCCCTCAGTTAATTACTTTGAAAAATGTAGAATTTCTTGAAAATCTTAAATTTTTAATTCATTTATTTCATAATGGACAAATAATTAGGGACGGATGAAGTAGAATAGTCTGAGTAAATGTAAACAAAGAAAATTGGTAATTTGAAAAAATCAATGCCATTATTATATAAATAACATTGGGAATGGAAAGAAACTGAAGAAAATTGTAAAATAAAGATAGGTGCATTAATAAATTCTAACAAAAACTGTTTCCCACATTAGAAGCTGCAGGAATCTCAAAATGCCAAAGTCTTCCTACACCTTTGACCAAATATTTTCTACACAAGAAAAGTTCAGCATAAATCTTCTCTACTTTCCGTTCAACATCATGTAAAAACACATGTGTAACGCCTTTTCCTTTCCTATTTCTCGCCATAACTGCTGCCGAATAAATAGCTGCCATTCTACCTGGTGCTTCTGCAAAATACCCTCTTGGTGCATCTATCATAATCAGATCCCATTCTTTATTGTAAACTTCATCCGATAACATATCTAATGCTAATTTACAGCCATGATTGCCACGTATAAATGATTTCTTCGCTGAACAATCTGGCTCTTTATGAAAATGTTCAACTAACTCATCTGCCTCCGATAACATCGTCCGATATTTCACGGTCTCCGCGTGAACAAACGGGGCGTCTTTTAGTATAGTCTCGACCCATTTCGGATCTTCCTCTAGAAACAATGTGTTTCCACGGGAATTAAATGAGGCCCACATTTGTGAATCATGGCCTAAACCAAATACAAGGAAATTACAAGGAGTACGATTTTTCAGAACGTCAAAAGATATCCTGATTTCGTTGATGTTTTGTTGAGGTATCACTCGCGATGTAGCGTAGTGTAAAATTGCATCCAGCAAGAGTTGTTGTGGATTATCAACGAGAAATTTCTCCTGAGCTAATTTATTGTTGTTGCAACCGATCAAATTGTTTGATGTTCTGAGAAAAAGAGAAATGAAAAGTGCACCTCCTAATAAACCTACTAATGATATAACAAGGCACCATGATCTCTCTGGCTTAAAATGGCTATGATTTTGTTTTTGCATATTTTTGAAGGGATGAAAAATTGATATGTGATTTTGGAGTATGAAAATTGTTAATCTCTATGGAGAAAAAAAAGGCTTTTATAAGAGTAATTTTATGAGAATAGTGACTTGCACGTTATCGACGTGAATAGTCATGGATTATATAGATATATCCTATAATTATTGGCACCCATTATTTTAATATCCAACTATGTATATGCATTATTTCTAGGTACAACCCAAATTATATATTAGGCGTAATTTATGGGCAATTAATGAAGGCATGGATTTCAACTTATTCTCATCTTAGTTATTGAATGGAAATTAATGACGGTCAATGTTTTAATTTATTCATATTTACGTTACTAATTGTATTTATTTTTTAAATCTGAATTTTCATTATTTAAATTTCAATTATTAAATGCTTTTATAAGTTTTATAATTAGTCAAAGCAAATTAGTTTTTGAGAAATAGTCATGTATATATATTTAATATAAATGACTATTTCTCAAAAACTAATTTGCTTTGACTGATTTAAAAATTATAAAGACATTTATATTAAATGTCTCTTTCTCAAAAACTATTTTGCATTGACTGATATAAAAATTATAAAGATATATATATATATATATATATGACATTTAATATTAATGACTATTCCCTTTGTCCACTTTTAATTGTCATGTTGTGCTTCTCAAAAGTCAATTTGACTAATTTTCAAAGTTAAATTAGATTACGTGAATTTGATATTTTTTAAAAAAAAATTAGATATTCAAAAACTATACGAAAAGTGCTATAAATTCCAATTTTTGCATATCAATATGATGAAAAAATACATTGTAAAATGTTAGTCAAATTTATTATCATTTGACTCTAAATAGGAAACTATGACAATTAAAAGTAGACGGAGATAGTATTTTTCAAAAACTAATTTGCATTGACTGATTATAAAAGGTCAAAATGGTCTAATGGATCCTTGTACTTGCAGAAGGTTGTATTATGGACTTCTACTTAACTTTTTACCAACTAAGCCCTTAAACTCAGTAAAAAGAAGATTATTAAACTCCTCCTATCATATGTGTAGTTTACTCGCCCTTAAATAGATGACACGCCATATAAATTACAGTAAACATCACTAAGTTAATATATGTGAGACCATGAAGTATTATTATTTTGTAGAGGTATTATTTAATCGATAAACTAATATTTATTAATTTAAAGAGTTTTTGAGATTCAATGAAGGTTAATTTTGATTAAATCAAAATCATTGTATCTTACTAATTTATGTATCGTATTTATTGAATTAACATAGAAAATAATTTTATTATATATAAAGAGTACAATGAATACATCAATGTTGATGATGAAGTTGAAGATGATACAATACCTTTGAAACTAGTTACGCGTAAAGAAGCACTTATCGCATCTCGAACTCTTCACAATCTTATAGTGCAGTTCAAAAAGCAACACCAGAGCTCTTGGATACAATAAGAAAAGTTAGAGATGAGCTTCAACTAGATTTAAAATTTAACAGAGAACAAAACACAATTGAATGATATTTCACTAAATTGTCTTAGGTATATTTGTCTTTAGAATTATTAATTTATAATATTAATGAGACCATATATTTATATAGGGGTCTTTTAAAAATATAGTATCTTGTTATTTTATTGAAGTGGATAATCCATTAGCCCAAGTCGGGATCGAAGAAAAATATTATCTTAGAAAAATTATTAATTTACAGAGTACTAATTTAGTGAAATTTTATTGTAATAACATGTCATAATTATATTCATTAACTATTTTTTAAAAAGTTATTAACTAAATATATTAGTAAGGTAAAATAATAATCTTTTAACTCCACACAACCACCCACTATTTTTCTTTCCTCCTCCAATATTCACAAAACCAGCAATAGCGAATTCCTTCGCCGCCTCCGTTTTGACGAAAAATAGACCAGCGCCACTTCTTTCTCTCACTCCACTGTGAATCAGTGGACTCCGACGAGCAACACCATGAAACCAATGCCGCTATCCCCCTTCACTGATAATAGTCATGATGTCAAGGAGGTGCCTATGTCAAAGTCTAGTAAAGAAGATGACAATTGGGTGTGGGAGAAAGAAAAAGGGGTTGGGCAGGGGTAGGGATAGTTGCAAAAGTAGGTGGAAGTGGCGGAAGAAGAAGGGTTTTTCAAATTTATTATTTTATTCTTTTATAATTTTAATATTTTTAAAATTTAAATATGGTATCACTTGCCTTGAAATATGTGTAGTTAGAGGTGTCAAAAGAATATGAAAAATCGATCGAACCGATCGAACCTAACCGATTTATGCTATTTTTCCAATAAAATAGTGGACTTTATTTAAGTGTATAACTGTCCCAAACAATTGGGATGGTCTTTATAATTTATGAAAAATTCCCGAACCGAACCGAATAACCTTACATGTATGTAAATATATTTTGTATATTAACAATACGTTAAATTTAATATATAAATATATTTTATAACATTTTTCAAATATAAATATAACTTAGGACCTAAGCCTCCGGTGACTAAACGACTTTGGGTCTTTGCTCTTTAATTTAGCCTTTACTTAATTAGGGTTGAAATTAAAAGATATTGTAATATCTACTCTATCAAACGATACAACAAAATCTATCCAAACACTCCTATTAAATATTTAAGATCAAACAATACGGCAACAAGATTTTACATTCTTGTCTTTGTGGTGTAGAATTCAAGTGTTTCTTCAAGAACATATTTGTGAAAGAAATATATTACTAGTAATATATTTTGAGGTGATATTTTAAAAGTAAAAGAAATAAAAAATTAACCGAACCGTACCGATACCGAAGAGAAACCGATATGATTGGAATGGTTTTAAAAAGTCTAAATTTTGGTTATATATATTATAAAATACCCAAAAATTTGGGATGGTATAATTTTTAAAAAATAACCGACTGAACCGTACCATTGACACCCCTATGTGTAGTCACACACTCTCGCATATTCATCCAACTTAATGTCATATAAGCTTGGTCAATGGTCAGAACGGTTTTGATATATTGTGTTTTATTGAGTTTAAAGGTGTCACGACCCAGACCGTCGTGATTGGCACCCACACTAATCCTCTGGTGGGAGAACCATTACTGCAATCCAACTAAGCAACTAAATCAAAATACTACACATTTAAAGATACGGAAGCAGGTTTAAATGACAATAAAAATGGAGTCCCCATAAACTCCAAGGGTTCAACTAAAACAACGCAACATAACTAATGCAGAAATTCAACCCCTAGAACCTAAAAGTCATTGTACCAAAACTCTGATTAACTAACAAGTCTAAGAAAAGGGGGTGCAGCCCCGAAAACTAAACAAAACACCCTAAACAAATAGTTTGAGTCCGAAAAGAGTGGACTTAAACAAGAGAGATCCATGGCAGCCTGAAAGAATTGGCTCACCATTGAATTCGGTCACGCTCAATAGTCACCTAACTGAGGTATGTCAGTAGCCGCCTGAAGATGCCCTGTACTCAACAAAGAATGAGCAAGTGCAGTATCAGTACACAACCACAGTGTACTAGTAGGATCACACGGCTATTCCAGTAAGCACAACATATATAAGCAGTTACAACTAGGGGTGTACAAGCCAAACCGTAAAGTCAAACCGAACCGACGAACCAAATCAAATCGGAAAAAAAATTGATTTGTGGTTTGGTTTGGCGGTTGAAAAAAAAAACCGACCACTCTTAGTTTGGTTTGGTATTAAAAGAAAAAAAGTCAAATCGAACCCAAACCAAACCGAC